AGGCAGAGAGGGTTAGGAGCTGGTTGAATGGACATGGGGAACCAGGGGTAGAAGGAGGAGTGTGCTGTCACAGTAAGGGGAGAGCAATTAGAATCACATAACAATGTATGTATACATTTTTGTATGGGAAAAAATAAACAAAAAACAAACAATTTTTTACATGTTTGATTTGAAAAAAAGCCCCCGCGTGCCCCTCCCAGTCTATACCCTCCAAGGTAAACCACTGTCCCCCCTTCCACGAGACAGTGAATGGTTAACAAATCCTCAGAGACAGGACTTTCTTATCTAAGCACTTTACAAATGTCACTTTGTTTAATCCTACGAGATGGAGCCTGTTATAACTTCGATTTTGCAGACGAGGAAACTGAGGCACAGAGGGGTTAAGTCAGTGGCGTGAAGTTACGCAGCAGGCAGGCGGCAACAGGCCGGGATATGAAGCCAGAGTTGACACCCCTAACTACCCCTAACTAAGTGCCATCCAGTCGGTTCTGACTCATAGCGACCCTGTGTACAACAGAATGTAACACTGCCCGGTCCTGCGCCATCCGCATAATTGTTATGCTTGAGCCCACTGTTGCAGCCACTGTGTCAATCCATTTCGTTGAGGGTCTTCCTCTTTTTCACTGAACCCCTATTTTACCAAGCATGATGTCCTTCTCCAGGAACTGGTCCCTCCTGACAACATGTCCAAAGTATGTGAGACAAAGTCTCACCATCCTTGCTCCTAAGGAGAATTCTGGCTGTACTTCTTCCAAGACAAATTTGTTTGTTCTTTTAGCAGCCCATGGTATATTTGATATTCTTCTCCTACACCACAATTCAAAGGCGTCAATTCTTCTTCGGTCTTCCTTATTCATCGTCCAGCTTTTGCATGCATATGAGGTGCCTGAAAATACCATGGCTTGGGTCAGGCACACCTTAGTCTTCAAGATGACATCTTTGCTTTTTGACACTTTTAAGACATCTTTTGCAGCAGATTTGCCCAACGCGATGCGTCTTTTGATTTCTTGACCGTTGCAAACTAGCTACCATTGGGGTGTGTTAACGCGGTATACCGGAGGCACTCAACAGATGCAGCCTTGGTTAAGTCCAGTCTCCCTGCCTGGGCCAAACTCCCCCAAAAGACATGGTGTTCTCCATTGTCTCCCCATCCACCGTCCCTAGACTTGAAACAGGACTGTGTATACAGCAGGTGCCTACTAAGTGCTCTATGGTAACTTTAAGGCAGGGTGGGGACCCCACCAAGGAGGGGAGGAGGAGGCAGGACTGGTCAGTGTGTGTCTGATCAAGCAGAAGATAAAGAACAGACATTAACTGAGCACCTGCTGTGTGCTAGGTCCTTGCTGAAGAGTCCTGGGGATTCACCTGCCTGTGGTCACATAGTGAGGGGGGCCCAGGGACAAACAGGACCCCATGTGGGCCCAGGCTCCCCCACCCTGCCCACCCCAGAGACGGGCCCGTTGGCTCCCTCCCCTGAGCTTGTCCCAGCGCCAGGGGACGTTGTGTCTTGCGACATCCTTGGCTGCAGCCGTTGCAGCTGGAGAATCCTGGGGGAGGTGGGAAGAGGAAGCAGGGGCTGGGGGCTGGCGCTGGGGCTGGCGCTGGGGCTGGGGCTGGGCCCTGAGGGACCACGTCCCGTTGCTCTGGCTGGGCTTACTCCATAGTGCCGGGTCTAAGCTCTCAAACTTGATGGAGACCCACAGCCCCTCTCCAGCCTCGGCCCCTTTCTCCAGCCCCCGCGCCAGGCAGACCAGCCAGACCACAGCCTCGGGTGGGGAGGGGGCTCATCGAAGTTCAGCAAGGCAGGGGTGGGACGGAGTCCCTTCCCTGAACCTCTGCTGGCATCCAGAGACTGATGGGACCCCCGAGTGGGAGCAAGTTCCCTGTCATAAGCAATAATCAAATAAAGGTTGGAAGGCCAGGCTTTGAGAGGGAGCCTGGAGGCTCAAGTGGAGGGCAGCAAAGCCAGGACCCAGGGTCAGCCTCAAATCACCGACCAGCTGTGACCCCTGGGGGCTAGGTTCAAATTCTGGTTCTCTCACTACGTTGCTGGGCGGGCAACTCATGGGGGACTGTCTGTGCCTCAGTTTCCCTGCTGACCCTGTGAAATGTCAGGGTAGCTCCAGGCATACCGTGAACTCTCAACATGGTTACCTGCTATTGTCATTATTATAGTGCCCCAGGTAAACTGAGGCACAGGGGTGCACCTGGCCAGGCTCCCTCGGGCGGAGGGTGACAAGGTTTAGCAAAAATACAGGATGCCCAATTAACTTTGAATGTCAGATAAACAATGACTAATTTTATAGGAGGGACCAGTCCCTGGAGAAGGACATCATGCTTGGTAAAGTGGAGGGTCAGCCAAAAAGAGGAAGACCTTCCGAGAGATGGATTGACACAGTGGGGCATCAATGGGCTTAAGGGTAGCAATGATTGTGAGGACGGCGCAGGACCGGGCAGTGTTTTATTCTGTTGTACACGGGGTCACTGTGAGTGGGAACTGACTCAATGGCACCTATCAACAACAATTTTATAGTATGCGTAAAGCCTGTGCCACATTTGGAACATACTCATACTCAAAAAGTAATTGTTTATGTGAAATTTGAACTTAATTGGGCATCCTGAATTTTATCTGGTGGTTCTACTCAGGCTGCCCCAGCCTCTTGCACCCCCACCCCACTCTGTCTATCACCCCCTTGTCCTCTGCGGCCCCCCGGGAGTGGGGAGAGGAAGTGGGGAGGCCCAGTCCCACTCTGGGGCAACCACAACGGCCTCCCACAGCGGGGCCATAAAAGGGACTGGTGGGGCAGTAGGGGCAGAGACCCAGACTCCCCGCCCGACCATGACTCACAGCCGCCAACCCTCCAGCCCAGCGCTCACCCCCCTTCTACTGGCCGTGCTGCTGGGCGGTGAGTGGGGTGCGGGTCCGTCCACCCGTCTGTCCCTAGGTGCTGTTCCCCACATCCTCACTTTGAGCTCGATCCAAGTGAACCCTCATCCTCGTGAGAGGAGACGGCTGGGATGATGAGCTTCGTTGTACAGAAGAGGAGCCTGAGGTTCCGAGTGGCCAGGGCACGGCATGGGGGCCCAAAGCCAGGGTTTGAACCCTAGGGTCGGAAGGTACCCTCTGGGGCTCAGCAGCAGGGTTCAAGTCTGGATCCCGCTGTGCCTTGGACAGGGGGACCTTGGGCAGGCTCATTCACCTCTCTGTGCCTCAGTTTCCTCATCCAGGAAATGGGTGGGATTCCCGGCTGGGGTTCAAGGAGCTGGGCAGGGCATCCTTGGCCGGGGCTCACGCCTCCCACCGTGTGTCCTCAGGCCCCGCTCTGGCCTCAGAGATCGTGGGCGGCCGGCCAGCCCAGCCCCATGCCTGGCCTTTCATGGTGTCCCTGCAGCGGCGCGGGGGCCACTTCTGCGGGGCCACTCTCATCACCCGAAGCTTCGTCATGTCTGCGGCTCACTGTGTGAATGACTTGTGAGTCCCCTGGAGGGCTGTTTCCCCTCCCGGAAGCCTCGGCCCCCACGTCTGTAAAACTGGAGGGGTGAGGCCGGGGCCCTGGGTCTGTGTGCGCTCCCCACGTGGTCGAGGTGAGCGTGCGGGAGCGGCCGGCCCCGCCCCCCGGCCACGTGCGCGACCCTTCCCCCTCTCCTCTAGCCCAGGCCCCCGTCGGTGCACCCCCTCCTTAGACCCAAAGGGGCGCGGGAGGACACGGAGGTGGGGCTCCTGGGGCCACGCTGAGCTCCTGGGACCACCCGAATCACCGCCCATCCCCTTCCTCGCCCGTAGAAACTTCCGGTCGATACAGGTAGTGCTGGGGGCCCACAATCTGCGTCGGCCTGAGCGCACACGGCAGATATTTGCCGTCCAGAGGGTCTTTGAGAACGGCTTTGACCCCATAAGCCTGCAGAACGACATCGTGATCCTCCAGGTGCCAGGCCGGGCGGGGTGTGGCGGCAGGAGCCGGCAGGGGCAGGTGGAGAAGGGGCGAGAAGGTGTGGGACACCTTGGGCCAGGTTGTGGGGCCCTCAGCGGCAGACCTGAGGTGGAATCCAGGCTCTAACCAGGAAGGTCACCCCCTCTGTGTGCCTCAGACCCCTCCTCTGTAAAACGGGGAAATAAGAACCCATCCCATCGTCTATCCAGAGGATTAAAGGAGATGATACCGCGAGTTGTCCAGAAATGAGGCTGCTGTTGTTACTGCGTGGGCCCTTCACCCACTGGCCCTGCGGCCGTGGGCAGGGACGGTCCCTACCTCTGCAAAGTGGGGTAAAACTCCCCGCTGTCGGGGGGTAGGAGGCTCACGGCAGAAACCCCACCCCAGGCTAAAAAGTGGTGATTCTTCTCTGACAATGTCGTAGATCAAGGATTTTGTTGTCAGTCGCTCAAGGTCAGGCCACGCCCCCTCCCAACCATGCCCCAAGCCGCTGTGGTTGCTCCTTCTTCACAGATGGGGAAACGGAGGCTTAGGATGGGGAACAGCCTGCAGGGTGGGTGGCCTGCTCCACGAGACCTCAGAATCCACCTTTGGGTTGGGGCTTCAGTTGGGAAACTGAGGCACGGAGTGGGGACGGTCACTGCCCTCTGTCCTGGGTGACCTGCCGTTGGTCTGTCCTGCCCCTGCAGCTCAACGGGACGGCCACCCTCAATGTGAACGTGCAAGTGGCCCGGCTGCCCGCCCAAGGCCGTGGCGTGGGTAATGGGGTGCAGTGCCTGGCCATGGGCTGGGGCCGGCTGGGCATGAACAGGCCACTACCTAGTGTCCTGCAGCAGCTCAATGTGACCGTGGTGACCTCTCGCTGCCGCCGCTCCAACGTGTGCACTCTAGTGCGTGGCCGGCGGGCTGGCATCTGCTTTGTACGTACCCTGCCCTCTCCACTCAGTGCTCCCCACCCTCCTCCTGGCCCAGGCTGCAGCAACAGGGACTGCGGGCAGACTCCAGGAAGGACTTACTGTACCCTCAAGGGTGGCAGGTGGGCAGCAGGCCTCGCAGTGCAGCCTCCTGACCTTGTCTGCCTCCACAGGGGGACTCCGGCAGCCCCCTGATCTGCAATGGAGTGGTCCAGGGCATCGACTCCTTCATCCAGGGAGGCTGCGGCTCTGGGATCTACCCAGACTTCTTTGCCGCTGTGGCACAGTTTGCAAACTGGATCGACAGCATCATCCGCCGCCATGATGACCGGTCCCCTCCCTACCCTAGGGACGCCACGAACAGGACCCCCTAAGAGGAACTCCCCCAGTCATCGCACCTCACCTGCTCACGGCTGCGTTATCCACTGGCACGATAAAAATCCTCTTTGTTTTGTAGACCATGTCTGGGAGTTTGTTGGCTGTGCAATTGGCTGTTGAAAGTGGTCAGGAGGGTGTCTTTGGACAAGGAGAGTACGCTACCACTAGGTGGCGGCAAAGTCAGGGCATTGGAGCAAGAAGTGAGATCCCCTTCTCCGCCCTCCACCAGAGGCTGCCGGATACCATTCTGGTGCAAAGCCCGGGTGAGGAGCCTGGGTTTAGTGGTTCCCAGGTTTGGTTTTGAGTCCCAGCTCTGTGACTCAGGGTGAGTTGCTTGCTGCCTCTCTGAGCCTCAGTTTCCTCGTGGGAAGGAGTGAGCTGCTGTCTGGGAAGGACTCAGCCAGGGGTTTGGGTCCCAGGCCTGCCTTGTCCTCACTAGGTGATGCAGACAAGCCCCCCACAACACACACACTGCCCCAGCCTCAGTTTCCCCTCTGACAACTGGGGGCAGAACAGATATTTCCCAACGCAACCCCCAGCCCTAATGGAGGGCAGGTCCGAGGCAGTGACCCTGGAGAAGGGATTGGCCCAGGCCCTCGTCTGCCCTCCTGAGCCTGGGAAGGACCCGTCTCCGTCCACAGGTGGGGGTCGTGACAGACACAGCCTCTACCATTGGTGTGGCTCACAGTCTGATGGGGGAGGACAGTTACCCAAACCAGCAGATAAATAAGACAGATCACGTCCTCCTATGAACTCTGAATAAACCGCCCCTCCCTCTGTCCCACTGGAACTCACCAGCTGGGCTGGCTCCCACCTCTGTGCCTTTGCCCATATGCTGGTTCATCTCCCTGAGCTGCCCTTCCCACAGCTTCCCCGAGATAGCTCCCCTCGTCACACTTCTGCCAGAGTGCCAGCTGCTCAGAGGGGCGCCCACTGCCCAGTGATTGCTTTTTTCTCTTCATAGTACACCCTGGCGATCTTCCTAGGCAGCCCAGCCTCTGGAGGAAGGTCAGGGTTATTTACTGACCTCCTTGCTGCGTTTCCAAATTTTGTTGCTATCTCAAACATTCTTCCTCTTACATAAGCTGGACTCCACATCCTAACAGGCTTTTGCTCAGCATTTCTGATTTTAATAAGGAATGTTTTTTTTAAAAAACAAAAAAACGTTGCTGTTGAGTCGATTCTGACTCATAGTGACCCTCTAGGATAGAGTAGAACTTCCCCACAGCATTTCTAAGGAGTGGCTGGTGGATTTGAACTGCCGACCTTTTGGTTAGCAGCTGTAGCTCTAACCACTGCGCCACCAGGGCTCCAGGAAACTGTTCAGATCAAACAAATCACATTTCTTGCATTACTTTCTATTCTTTCCTGTATGTATGAAATAGTTCACTGGGCAGAGAAATGAAGCAGAGGGGAAAATATGTGGCTGTTCTCACATAGGTAGACATGACACCCACCCACTTCTGTCCCAGCACCTCCATCAAGAAGGCTTGACCCACCATCTCCACCTACAGAGGGCCATGTGACCCAGGCTTGGCCAATCAGAACATGCCCATCTCCTGCCCACAGTGATTGGTTTGGAAGAGAGCGTGTGGTTCAAGCTCAGCCAATGAGAGGCAGCCCTGAGACTTTGGCTAGAGTGATGGAGAATGAGGCCTTTACTTTGGGAGGGGGCTGCTGAGCCTCTAGGGTGAGTGTGGGGCTCCCAAAGTCACAAGAGCGGAGGCTGGTGAGGAGAGAAATCATCAAGGATGAAAGGAGAAGCCAGAGGCAGAGCTCTGACATTATTCAGGGAGCTGGATCAAGCCATACCTAGAGGCAGATACCCCTAAACTGTGCATTTAAATTCCCCTTGCTGAAGGCTCCACCCAGCTTGACTTTGATTTTCTGTCCCTGGCGTCTGGTTGCCCCTACACACCATCTTTCTGACATTCTACTTGTTGGTGCCTCAGGCCTCAGAGCCTGCAGGGACAAGGGTGTCAGGTGACCATCTCCCACCCCCACACCATCTCCTCCCCAAGTAGGAGAAGGAAGAAAAAGCAAGGAGGGGCAGAAAGATGAGGAAGTGGATTGTTTACAAAGTGTGTGTTCCAGCTGTAGCTGTGAAAGCTCCGGGCTGGAAGGATGGGACGCTTGAGGGCTGGGTGGAGAGAGTGGGGTGGGGGCTCAGCCCTCCTCTCTGCCCCCTCCCCATCCTGAGGGGCTGCCCTTTCTCAGGGACAGTGTGGGCCAGGCTCACAGAGGGGAAGGGACCCCTAGTCTACTCTTGGTGCAAAGTCTTAAAGGAGGTAGCTGAAGAGGGAAGAAGCGGTGTTCCCCTTTCTGCAGCTGGGCCGCTGCCCACTGAGCAGATGGGGCCTGTGAAAGCCACCCGCCCCCCTCCGCCCTCATAAAAGCCCCCCCAGGGCCCCGCCTGGTCAGTGGCGTAGACACAGCAGCAACATGGTGGACACCGCTGTGCGCCTGGTGGCTCTGGCACTCCTCGGAGCCGCAGTGTGTGGTGAGTGGACCTGGGCCTGGGGTCCTCAGCCTTAGGAGGGTCAGCCAAACAGGACCGTCCCCCGCCCCACCAGGCATGCAGCAGTGTGTAGGGGGGAGAGTCCGTGTGAATGTTGTTGTGTGCCGCTGAGTCAATTCTGACTCTTAGCACCCCCATATGACAGAGTAGAACTGCCACATAGGGCTTCCTAGGCTGTAACCTTTACCTGAGCAAATCGCCAGGTCTTTTCCCCTGGAAATGGAGCCACTGATAAACTGGCACCGCTGATCTTTCACCTAGCAGCTGAGCGTTTAGCCATTGCACCACCAGGGCTCCTTGCCAAAAAAAGCAAACCCGTTGCTGTTGAGTCGGTGCTGACTCACAGTAGCCCTATAGGACAGAGTAGAGTTGCCCCATAGCATTCCCAAGGAGTGCCTGGTGGATTTGAACGGCTGACCTTTTGGTTAGCAGCCGAGCTCTTACCCACTGTGCCACCAGGGCTCCCCAGGGTTCCTTAGCGGTTCTAAAAGCCAGGGAATTCTCAGAATTTCTCTGCGGAAACCTGAGTCTTCCAGAGTCTCAGCTCTCCCCATAGTGGAGTCAAGAATCTGAAATTTTACAGTTGAAAACTGGTGGCCCGCCAACCTAACCAGGCTGGCAGGACCATTTAGTTTGGCCAGCCCCATTTTTCTTAGGTTTAATTTGGAGCAGTGTGGCAATGCGTGCAAGGCTGGCATTTGCCCCAGGCCCCACCACTCGCTATCTTCTGTCTTCTCATGCATTCCTGCCTGGATCCCAGGAATCTGAGTTTGCCACCCTGGGTGGGAGGATAGCAATGATGGAGCAGGCTGGGTGTCTGAGGGCTGGGCTTCAGGCTGGACCCAGGTCCCCAAGGTTCGCAGTTCTCCCTGCAGTCCTCAATGCCCTGTCGCCCACCCGCAGCTGCACAGCCCAGGGGTCGGATCCTAGGGGGCAGGGAGGCCGAGCCCCACGCGCGGCCCTACATGGCGTCGGTGCAGGTGAACGGCGCGCACGTGTGCGGCGGCTTCCTGGTGGCCGAGCAATGGGTGCTGAGCGCAGCGCACTGCCTAGAGGATGCGTGAGTGGCCCGGGCCTCGGACGGGGGCAAGGCGCGGGGGAGCGGTGCTGGGGGTAGGGAGGGGTCCAGGGCTCTGACTGTGGACCCCGCCCGCCCCCAGGGCCGGCGGGAAGGTGCAGGTGCTCCTGGGCGCGCACTCCCTGTCGCAGCCTGAGCCCTCCAAGCGCCTGTACGATGTGCGCCGCGCGGTGCCCCACCCGGACAGCCGGCCCGAGACCATCGACCACGACCTCCTCCTGCTGCAGGTCAGCTAGCTGAGTATTGCCGCAGTCCCTCCTGCTGCACCGAGAGCTGATCCCCTTCCCTGGTCCCACTCCTGCCTGTTCCACCTCCAGTCCCACCAAGATTAGCCTCAGACCCTCTTACGGCAGCTGGGACCCACGTCCTCCTGTTGCCCCGCCAGTCCCACGGAGTCTAGCCTCAGTCCTTCTTGCTGCACACCACCCTGCCACACCCTCCCCGCCCTGACTCTCGCCTCTGTCCCCCCAAGCTATCCGAGAAGGCCGTGCTGGGCCCCGCCGTGCGCCCCCTGACTTGGCAGCGCGAGGACCGCGACGTGGCGCCCGGCACGCTCTGCGAAGTGGCCGGCTGGGGCGTGGTCAGGCACACCGGCCGCCGGCCCGACCGCCTGCAGTACGTGTCGGTGCCCGTGCTCGACCGTGCCACCTGCAACCTGCGCACCTACCACGACGGAGCCATCACTGAGCGCATGATGTGCGCGGAGAGCAAAAGCCGAGACAGCTGCAAGGTTAGGGCGGGGCCTGAAGGGCGGGACGCGGGAGTGGGCGGGGCCTGAAACGGGGCGGGACACTTGGGGCGGGGTCTAGAGAGACGGGGCAGGGCCAGGAGGGTGGGGCATGGAGGCGGGCGGGGCCTAGAGGGGCGGGGCACGTGGTGGGCGGGGTCTAAAGGAGATGGGGAAGGGCAGAAATGGGCAGGGTCTGAGGGGAGTAGGGGCCAGGAGGGGTGGAGTCTGGGACAGGGCGGGGTTTGCAGACTGGCTAAGAAGGGGACAGGCCCTGGGACAAAGACCAAAGTGGAGGTCTGAGAAGGAAGAGGTGGACTTAGAGTCAAAGGGGCGGGGGCTAAGATGGGGCGGAGCCTGCTTTCGTGGGCGGGGATTTGAAAGAAAGGGGCGAGGCCTGAGAGGTTGGCCGGCCAGGAACCAGACTGGGGCCAGAGAAGAGCTGAATTGCAGGGGGCTGGCTGGTGGTTTCTGGCGGGTGTCGGGGGGGGAGGAGACAGGTAAGAAGGAGGGTCTAGAGCAGAAAGAGGGGCTTGGACTTTGGAAAAGGGGCTGGGAATGTGGCAGGTGTGGCAGCCCACCACTCACGGCCCCACCCGACGCAGGGTGACTCCGGGGGTCCGCTGGTGTGCGGGGGCGTGGCCGAGGGCGTGGTCACCTCTGGCTTGCGCGTCTGCGGCAACCGCAAGAAGCCCGGGATCTACACTCGCACAGCGAGCTACGTGGCCTGGATCGATGGCGTCATGGCCGAGGGCTAGGTCGCCTGAAGAGGACCCGGGGTGGGGTCAGCAGTCACCACGGTTGTGGGGGACTCAGCAATAAAGTTATTCAGCCCTGCATCCAGTCTGCCTTTATTGAGCGCTCACTGCATGCGGGTACCCCGACGGAAGGTGGGGGAGGCGGGTACCCACAGATAAAGATAAAGCGCTTGCGCTGAGAATACAGCGTGAAACACAGCTCCGGGAGGAAGGGCCTGCAGGGACAAAAGCCCACGGAACAAATGCCTCCAATCAGGGCCCAAAGCTGCCAGGTGTCGTTCCCCGCTTCGGCCACACGGCGGCGCCCTTATTCTTCTCTGGAAGGTGGGGAAGGAACTCGAGGTACAGGGAGGGGATTGCATGGGGGGTGTCCCCACGGCTATCCTCTCTTGGTCAGGTTAATGTCCCAAGTGGCACCTGAAGGCCTACTGTGTGCAAGACACTGCTCTGGCCTGAGACAGAGGTGCAAAGACCCTCTGCTGTCCGCTCTTACGGCCCATTTCCCAGACACGTAAACTGGAGACTCAGGGAGGCCGTGTGACACCCGAGCTCACGCAGCTTGTAGCAAAGCCGGGATTCAAAGCCAGAGCATGCCATCCCCAGTGCTTCCAAATTTAAATAAAACAGAATGAAAGAGGACGGTAGGCCTCAGTTTACCCCTCAGGGAGTGACAGGGAGGTGACAGAGGGTACAGTCCAGGCTGAAAGTGCCCTCTGGACGTTGAGGCTCAACACCTACTAGGCACCAGGCGTGAAGCCTGGCCCATGAGGAGGGCTCACGGCCCCCTTCCTGTCAAAAAGGACACTGAGGGTCTGAGAGAGGAAGTCACGTGCCCCACTGGGCTCCTGAGCCCTGCTGCTGCCCAGTGGTGCTGCTTCGTGCTGTGAGGACAGGCGTCCCGGGCTCAGTGCTCACCCTGCAGGGCGCCTGGCCTGCCCGCCCTCCCTCCCATGGTGCCTTTAAGAAAGAAAACAAGAAAACAAGAAACCAATTACCACCCAGCTGGCGGGGCCCCTCAGCCGTAATGGTCAGAGTGCTTGCTGCTGGCTGAAGGCAGGACCCCTGAGAAAGGGGCTGAGCTGCCAGAAATGAGGGGGGGACTCACGGACAGTGTGTGTGGGGTAGAGAGGCAGAGACGGGCGCAGAGGTGTCAAAGGCCTGCCCGCTGTGACCAGAGGAGGGCTGAGGGGGTGCAGGGTGCACAGTGGGTGCTCCGCAGAGGGGCGGCGCCAGTGAAACCAACACAGGCTCGTGGGGACGGTTTATTGGGCCACCCCTTCCCAGCCCAGCCTGCCAAGTCTCAGAACCACATGGTGGGGCAGCCCTGGCACCACCAGCTACAGGTGGCAGGTGTCCTGGCCAGTGTCACCTGGGCTCACTGAAATGAGACACCCAGCCAGTCCCGACCCTCTGAGCTGACCCTTGCACCGGGCGGGGTGGCTGCCTCCCGGGTTCAAGTGCCGCAGGTCATGGAGAAATCTCGAGGCTCACATCAATCGGATGCCAATCACAGCCTCTGTGTCCTCACTTGCTCTGCCCAGTTATGGAGGCGCCGGACCTCACGTGGCTCGACAGCCACCTTGGAGGCCAGGTTATCTCGTCACAGGCTGGCAGGTGCTCACAGCGTGTGGAGTAGCCCGTCACAGGCACGGAGTAGAGAGAGGACGCTGCCTTTGTTAACATCCACCAGGAAACCACAGGGCCAGGCGCCGAGCCCCTGGACGCACGTCAGGGGCAGCTGAGCGGCATGCGCCTCCAGAGCCCTCCGCACAGGCAGTTCTTGATCCAGCGCTGCTCCCACTGCTTCACGGCCGTCGTCTTGTTTGGTGATCTGAGCATGGTCACGCAGCCACACCTGCAGGCAGGGCCGGCAGACAGGGGATGGTGGGTCCGTAGGGTGCCCCCACTGTCCCTGCACTCAGCATGCTCCCACCCGCCATCCCTTGAGCCCACACCACCATGCTCCTGCTTGATGGCCTTCCCACCACAGGACCTTTACACATGCTGTTCCCCCACCAAGGATGCTGTTTCCTGCACCACCTGCCACCCTGAGCTGACCCTGTCCTCCTGGTCCCACTGAGGGTTCATCCCTCCATGAGGTGTCTGTCCCTAGCCTCCCCAAAGGTATGAAGACGTGACTGGGCGTCTAAGTCCTGGCACAGCCACGCACTCGCAGTATGACCCTGGCAATCATGTGGCCTCTCCGGCCCTCGGCTTCCTGGGGTCATTCTGTGGCAAGTGGGGCCACGTCTGCCAAGAGCCAGTGATGGAGGACTGGATGCAAAGAGGCGGGAGCACTGGTGGGGAGGGTCTGCGTAGGTGGGGGCTCACCTGGTGCAGGTGGGGGCTCACCTGGTACAGGTCTTGCACTCCTCAGTGGGGTAAGCCCCCAGGTGCAGCCGGCGGAGGTGGTCGATCTTGGGCTGGCCTGGTGCCCTGGGTGGACAGACGGGAGAGCGTGAGGGAGGCTGTGGCCACTGTGGGCTGGGCCTGGGCAGGATGTCTGTCCACAGCGGGCAGGTGTTCCTGGGGGCACGTCCATCTTGGGGGCACCCAGTGTGTCCCCAAAGCCCCACACAGAGACCAATCCATCAGCAAAAAGACCATGCGTAGTTAGTTAAATCAGGTTTCACTAGAGTGGGCCCTGATGCAATAACAAGTGTCCTTCTAAGAGAAAGGCAAGGCAGGTCCCGAAAAGAAGAGCTGCTCAAGGCCCCGAGGCAGGGTGGCACACCTGGCAAGGCTGTCGAGCTGGGAGGCGGCGGCGCTGCCCGGCAGAGTGGGCGCCCGGCCGAACTGCAGCCTTAGGGGCTGCTTGGGCTGCAGGCGGCTGATGAGACCGTCACTGACAGGCAGCCAGTCCAGGCTGGGGATGAGCAGCTGGCTGGGCAGCAGGCAGCACTCATCCACCAGCGCCTCATCCGGCTCACTGGTGGGACCCTCATCGCGGCCTGTGGGGAAAGGAGGCGGTGGGGAGACCGTGCTCATGGCTCTGCCCATTGCACTGCCCGCTCACACACTACCAGGTCCAGTCCCAGCTCTGCCGAGGTGACCTTGATTTAAAAATCCCTGAGTGAGCTTGGGAGACGCCAGCACGCCGGGGCAGAGCCTGGTGACGGCTGACGTCTGACGAGGCCCATTACGTGCTGGACCCAAGCTGGGCACCAGGGAAACAACAGGACCAAGACAGAGCTGGTTTGACCTGAGGAGGCTTATGTTCTGGTGGAGGTGGCGGGGGGAGGGTACCAGCAGGGCTTGTGTTCTGCTGAGGGGACGGAACGTCTTACAGCAGATCCAGAGCTTGGTGAGCAGGCGGAAAAGCAAAGACATGCTGTCCTGGGTGTCTGAGGTGGCCGTGTACACGGGCAGGCAGCTGGGCTTCAGCAGGCCCCAGATGCGGATGACAACCATGAGCTCACGCAGAATGCCCAGTGAGGTGCCGTCTCGCAGGAAGCTGTGGCCGGGCCGCAGCGGGGAGCCCTAAGGGAGGGTGGGGCCGGGGGACTTGTTTTCAGATGTGGGCAGTGTCCTAGGCCTTCAGGTCAGATAACTGTGGGACAGAATCTCTTGGGGGTCAGTGGAATCCCCTAACCCACGGGTTCTCACCCAGGGCAACTGTGCACCAGGGGGCACTGTGCGATGTCTACGGACTTTTGTGGTTTTCATGACTCAGAAGACTGCTACTGGCATCAAGTGAGATGCTGCTCAATACCCCACAGTGCACAGGACGCCCCACCGCAGAGCACTATCCGACCCCGTGTCAGTGCCCTCGAGGTACAGACACAGGAAACAGGCCAGCCTCCTGCCTCCAGCACACACAGCCTGGAAGATTGGGCTGCCCAATTCCTGCAGAATAACCAGTGACTCAGGCTTCTGCTGCCGGGGGCTCCGGAGCCTAGCGCCACTATCCCCTGAGATGGGCGGGGCGAGAGCTAGGAGGAAGGGCGGGGCCAGGATGAGGCGGCGGAGCCAGGAAGAGGGGGCGGGGCTAGAGGGAGGAAGGGCAGACCGCGGCCAGAGGAGGCCAGGAAGGGAAGTGGATGGCACAAGAGGGTGAAATCAGGATGGGAGGTGAACAGGATGGGGTGAGGTATGAGTGGGCGTGGCCAGGAGGAAGGAGCGGGCTGGGAGGAAGGGGCGGGCACACACCTGGTTGGGCAGGCTGGCCAGCAGGTAGAGGACAAAGTCGCCCACCCACTGCAGGAGCTGCTGCAACGCCTGGAGCGTGTTCATATCCAGGACAAACTCCTCCGTCTTGAGGTTGATCATCACCTTGTCGATGTCTGGGAGAGACGTGCGGTCAGCAGACTGCACGCGCACACACACATGCACGCACACACACATACGCTTGCCAGCCCAAGCGTCACGCCCTCCGTCCTGGACCCAGCACAACTGGGCCTGCTAAGTGAGGGGACCCCGAGGACAGGCTGGGTCAACGGGCAGGCAGGGCAGGGAGGGCGGTGCCCACCGACGTCGGTGATCTTGGAGCAGATCTCGGTCAGCCGATCGCCGGGGCTCTTGTCAGGCGTGTTGAGGAAGTGGGGGCGCAGCAGGGACCTGAGCGTGGAGCTGATGGCGATGAGGAAGAGCTTGGCGTGATAGTCGCACACACGCGTCACCGTGCAGGGCGACAGCTTGCACAGCGAGGCCTTCATGGCCAGGATCCGCGTGGACAAGACCTGGGGGTGGCCGGGGTGGGCGGGCGGCGTGAGAGGGCGGGCGAGGGAGCGCTGAGAAGGAAGGGGCGGAGGACACCTCCCGGAGCCTGCGCGCAGAAGGCCCCGCCCAGCCCACGCGGCAGGCCGTCACCTGCTGCAGCGCGGCGTTCTGGCGCGTGTACTCCTCGTGCAGCTTCTCCACCAGGCTCTGCACCATGCTGGGCTGCACGTGCAGCAGGATGTCCCACCAGTCGTAGCCCGTCACCATGCAGTACTCCAGCAGGAACAGCAGGTGCCGCAGGGCCAGGCTCATGTCCAGCGTGTGGCCCATGGAGGGCGAGATGCGCAGCATGTTCAGCTGGGGTGGGGGGGACACGGGTGAGCCCGGGAGAGTGGGGCTCCGTCGGGGGGGGGCAC